AGTTCCAGCTATCAGAAGAGAAAGCTTGAATGAAAGCTCAGACTCTGTGTTTTTTCTTTGAGAAGTCAGATAAACTGTCTCTGATATTATACATTTCATAGAAGATTAACTTACTGTGAGCTACTGCAATCTCTGACTCTGTTATGATAAAGAGGCTCTTATGAGAGGATTTAGAGTTCAATCTTTTCTTAATCACACTGCTTGTTCTCACTGAATGATTGAATGACTTCTGATAATGAATTAGAGACAATGAGTCAGCCACCTGACATGCCTGAACTGATTGAAAGACTCAATTCACTGACTACATGTGTAGTTTCAGATGTTTTAAACAGAATAATGATCACTGTCTGTATCACATCTCTCTGTCTAAGCAGACAGAACCTACAAAGTCATCTGTATCTACTGCAGAGACAGCAGTGATTTTCACAAGTGCTCTCACAATGAGTAAGTTGCTGATTTAGTGTATAACAGAAGAAGGAAGACTGCCAGTGCCTGCAGCAGAGTGCTACATCTGCAGAGGCTCTCATTACATCAATCACTGTCTTAAAAAAGAGGAGAACAGTGATTGTCCAGTGAATCAAGTCAAACTGAAGAATATCAGAAAAGATGATGATGAGCTGCTGAATCTAGACCTCAGTCTAGATTCTGACAGTGAGTTGAAAAAATAATCAGTGAGACAGATACTGAGAAGCTCATCTCATCTACAGACATTTTCTCAGATGATTATCAGAACATCTTTAATGCTGACATATATGCAGTTGCAGTGTGTGATATCTCTATAAATGATTGAGAATACATTAGCAGACTACAGTATTTGTCTTACATCTTTCTCATCATTTCTGTCATTACATCACAAGGCGATCTCTCTGTTTGTATGAATACAGATGTGAGTATATCACTTATCAATGCAATAATAGCAAACCTATTCTTCTCTCATTGTCAATTGACCTCTATGCCACATGATCAATGCATGAATATTTGAGAAGTTGACTTGAAAGCTGATGAATCAAATCTATTCATAATAACAGATCTTATCTTGAGAACAGACAATGATTCTCTTTTCATTGTTGAAGATAAATTCCACTTAGTGTGATATCTCAGATGCAATATAATCATAGCTAATGATATATTATTGTTGATGAAAGCAACTATCAATGTTCACAGTGAGCTTGTTACATTTCATGAAAGATATTTCATAAATGCCAAGGTCATCAGAGATGCTATCCGCGCGGGTAGACACCTGCCAAACCCACAGCCACCTCAGCAGTGGAAGAAGATTGTCATTTGTGCTGCTAATGTCAATATCATTCATCATTCTGACTGAGAAGATCCCCTGTTTTCTACCTCATACATTGAATTACATTTGATGAATGCAGAAGATCAGGATAATTCACTTCAAATTCTCACAGCAGATACTCTTATCAAGCAGATTCAAGCAGATGTATCAGATCACTGAGCAGCAGAAGACTGAGCAGTCATTTAAGCAATTATTGACTGACATCACAAACTATTTAGCTCCAGCCTAGACTTATTTTTGAATGATGTTAAGATGTCACTGCAGTTCATTAATGAGAGTAACTTTTTCAGTCTGAAACAGAGACTCTATTCTCTGTCTCAAAGAGATCACAAAGCTGCTGATCAGATCCTGAACTTGCTTCTGTAAGATAGAAGAATTAAACATGTTTCCCTTGAAGACAGGAATCTCATTGCTTCACCTGCCTTTGTGGTCTGACTTAGAGAGAAGCTGAGAGTGATGATTGATTTGTGAAAAGTAAACACACACTTACTTCTCAATGCATATCTTCTACTGATATAACAAGATGTGTTGCAATCACTTAGCAGTTCTACAGTATTCTCATTCATGAATATTTGTCAAGACTTCTTTCAACAAGTGATTGAACAGAGTGATCATTTCAAAACCATGTTTATAATCTCACACTGAGATCTTGAATGTTTTACAGTTGTCACAATGAGGTTGATAACCTTGCCTGAGTTCTTTTAACAGTGTATGAAGAAGATCCTAGTGAAATTCCTATGACAATTTGCATTAGTCTATGTAGATGACATCATCATCTTCTCTTACTCACTGAATGAACATCTTCATCATATGCAGCAAGTCTTCACAGCTCTCAAGACATCTGAGATAACAATGTCATTAACTAAATGTCATTTCATGTATCTCTCAGTACATTTGCTGAGTCATCATGTCAGCTGACTAGACATATCTACTTAAGAAGAGAAAGTAGCTGCTATTGCTAATCTAGCCTTCTCTATAACACTCAGAGAACTAGAAGAAATTGTCAGCCTCTTCAATTATTATCATGATTTTATCAGTTTTTATGTAGATCAGATGAAAGCATTAGAGACTCTTAAGATCAAGTTGCTGTATAATGATTCAAAAATGAGTCAGAAAAGAGTGTCATACACAGCTAAGATCAAGTTAATGAGATTTGAGAACTTACTGCAGTTTCATGCTCTGCTCACAGAAGTCAGATATTCATTTGATATGATAAAGCAAGTCTTGATAAATATCTTCATCTGGGCATATTCTGACTTTAAATATCCCTTCATATTGTACATGAATGCTAGTAAGCAAAGAGATATTAGAGTAGTTCTACATCAAGTCAGAATGAATAACATTGAAAGATCTGTTCTATTTCTCTCTTACTGATTAAGTGCAGCTGAAAAGCACTACTGAGCAACTGAATTGAAGTGTCTTGAACTTATATGAGCTCTGCAGAAATTACTGCAGTATTTAGACAGTGAGTTTACAGTTATCACAGATCATATCACTCTTGTATCTGCTTTTCAGTCATCAGTAATAGATTATTGTAGCAACTGACTGGCAAATTAAGTCTTAGTTCTAAGCTTATATCTTCTGTGAATGACAATCTGCTATTGCAAGAGTGCTGCACATGCTAATGCTGATGCTCTATTCAGATTGCACTGTCTAGATAATAATTCAGAAGAGATTTCTTCTGAAGAGCAGAAAAAAATCTGCCAGATTATTATCAATCAGGCAGACAGACTGATGACAGATACATCTTCAGTGAAGATATGTATAATTTCAACTACAGTGATAGAGCTCACTGATGAATTCAAAAAGCAACTATGCTGAGATATTTTCTGTGACTCAGTATTGAGAAAGATCTTTCAGAAGATCAGTCAGAAAGAGTAATATCAGTCATTTACAGTACAAGACAGGCTATTGTTCTTTGAAGAATCATGTCTCTGTATTCTCAAATCACTGATGTGAGATGTCATCTGTATGTGTCATAATGCAGCAGATCACCCTGGTCTTCATTGAATGAAAAACCTTATTCATCAGTTCTTCTTCTTTTCTCATGTCTGAAAGAGAATCCTGAACCATCTATCATAATATCTCAATTATCAACTAGTCAAACTGCTGAATCACTCATCAGGGGGCAAATTACACCTCATCTCACTCTTAAAACAGCTGTTTGAAGTTCTTTCAATTGATTTTATTACAGAATTATCTGTGAGTGACAATTGTGACACTATATTAACAGTTATAGACAAGTTTTCAAAAGCAGTAATTCTAATTGTAGAACAGAAATGATGAAATGCTTCATGATAAGTGAAAGACTTCTATAAGAAGATGATCTGTCACTGACAGCCTTCACTGATGATTATTTCAGATAGAGATCTCAAATTTATATTATAATTTTGAAAGTCAGTTCTTCAACTCATGAGAATTAAGATATGAATGACAACTGTCTACAACTCTTGCTTAAACAGTCAAAGTGAGTGAATCAATCTCACAGTTGAAGTCACATTGTGAATACTTCTTATAGATGAATATGAAATAAATTGAACTGCTCTGCTTGAATAAGTGAAAAGAGTATTGAACTCAGTAACTGCACAGTCAGCAATAATCTCTCTCTTTGAATTACTCACAGATGTAAAGCCTAGATGACTGTTATTGAACAATGAGAAAGCTCTGCTAGATGTAGCTGAGTTCATCATCACATGAGATGCAGTGCAGCAAGATGTTCTTGACTTATACACTCTGATAAAAGCTAGAATGACTGAGTTCTTTGACTGATCTCATTCTTAATCAACTATTTAGATTGATGATTGAGTCTTCTTGAACCTCACTCAAAAAGCTCAAAAGAGCTATACATTAAAAGAAACATTTAAGCTATCACTCTTACAGATAGACTCATTTCATGTCCTTCAGAAGATATCAGATATTACATTTTAATTGAAACTGTCAGCTGATTGATGAATACACTCAGTAATCTTCATTATTCATCTGAAAAAGACTGTATTAATAGAAGTGAATATGAAGCACTCATCATTAGAATCAGTACTTATTGATAGTCAGTTGCAATTTGAAGTTGAAAACATCATAAGAAAGTGTACAGAGAATGACAAGACTTATCTTCAGATTAAGTGAAAGAGATATGAAGACCTGATCTGAAAGCCTCTTGAAGTTATTACACAAGACATCTCACACCTGATCAAGGCCTTCATAATTAAGAAGCCTTGCAGTCAGCTGAGTAAATGATAGAAAGAAAAATAAAATAGAGATAGAGTGAAAGAAAGAAAGAAAATGTATTATAATCTAATTTTAGCTATTGAATAAGAAGATAAAGAAAACAAGAAAATCATTATCTTTCATTCTTTTCATCATTTCATCTCATCTCTTCTTACTAATTATCTTCAAGCTCTTTCTACAGCTTGATCTCCTGCTCAGTGAGACATGCATCTTAAAATGCAATATCTGCTGATAATCTCTCATTCACAAGATCACTGAAACACACTCTGCTGAATAACTTAAAGAAATGATTATTGATCACAGTATTCTCTGCAGCTGAAATCATGTTAGTAAACTCAGCTATCTTATTCAGTTTCTTTCACACGGCCTGAATGATGTTCAGATTATATTTGTTGAGATTAGATGATCATCTCAGCATCTTCAAATCTTGAGCTCTACAATCAATCATGCAGTCTTCAGAAGAAAGAATTGACAACTATTATACATCACTCATCTTAGTCTCATTGATCATCTTAGCAGGGGTTGAATAGCTTGTCTTTGCCTCATCATCTATCTTCACAGGTGTTAAGATGCTCTGCTCACTGATTTGAATGTGTTTTGAGAGTTTCAGTGCAATCAGACTCAATGCCTTGTACTTGAAAGATGTAGATATTCTCTTCATTGAAACTATAGTTGAATCATTCTTCTCTCTTATATCACTGATCTTAATAATGTCATCAATATTCATCTCCTCAACTGCAGTCTTTTCAAACCCAGGCACACTCTCTTCAAACAGCAAGTTATTCACATTTCATTCAAGTTCATATCAGCTATGATAATTTAAAGAGCAGCAGAATCTCTTATTTTCTTACTGATAGTTAATACAAGTATCATGTCTCTACTGTGTCTGTTTGTCATCTGCAGAGATAATCACACATTTCTTGAATCATCCCTGACTCTTCACACAAGACTGACACAACACAGAAGCTATTTCCTCACAGATCTGCAGAATAATGACATTCTGATTAGTAGAATTCTTAGAATCAATGATCTGTGAAGTGATTAGCTCATTATTATTCATTTATCAGTGTAACTTTCACTTGACAGATAACTGTCTTAAATCTTTAATCAATCACTGACTGAGTAAAATGAAAAATTCATGATTGACAAATGACATCTTCTCACTACATCTCATAAGTCTTTCAATGATCAAGACAGCATCTGCAAGCCTCTTCACAGTCAGGTTCTGCATGATTGACACACTCAGGTGAGCAAGCTTGTCATTCTGCTGAAAGTGTAAGTCAGTCTTATCATTGTGATACAGATGTCTTATACATGCTGTGTCATACAGTCAAGACATCTGATCACTCTCAATGTTCTTCTTTCATCCTGACTTTCTCAAAACATTGTCACTCAGAGTCTCATGCTGCTTCTGACTAGCTCTTCAGCACTTCTTATTCTCTTTCATCAGTAATGATTCTTCAGCATCTGTATCTATCTATTCAGCTTCTGCTTTCAGTTCTACTTACAGTTCTTCATCATCAGTCACTCTCACAGCAGTCTTCTGACTTTCTTCTCTCTCATTCATCTCAATATCTTCTTCTGAAAATCAGTGTGTGAACAGTCATGACTTTTTCAAATGAGTAAATAGTGTTATAAGCTTTTACATCACAGTCTTAGACTCTTCTTAACTCTTTGAGCTTCTGTCATGTAATTCATCTGTTGACTCTTCTGCAGCAGTATCATGCAGCCTAGCTGAGTAACAATGAGACATCACTGCCTTTTACTTATCTTGATCTTTGATTACTTTGTATATGAAAAGATAAGTTGATAGTGTCAGAAGCTCATCTGTTCAAAATTCTAACTCTTTATCTTCATTATTTTCTTTCATCTTATTCTTATCTGTCTTCTCTTCACTGATCTTCTCACTCATCTTCTCTTCTCTATCACTTATATAAAGAAGAGCATCATGCTTCTTCTGACTTAATGACTGAAACAATTTCTCTAAGATCAAGATCTTTTTCACCATGCTCACTGCATCTGTCTTCACAGCTGTTGACTTCTTCTTAAGACTCATTGTTTCTGTGATCTAATCTTCTATATGTTGTGATTTTCACTAATTCCACTATATTAAATTTTCACAAGATGAGTGAGAAATAAGAGAAGAATAAGAGAGAAGTGATTGTAATATATATATTAATGCAATCATTCATCTACACTAATTTCTATCACTTACAGAATCTTTCTCTCATCACAATGAAACTTTCATTCTTATCTATCTCATCAAAGAACTCTTTCTCATTCAAGCTTCTTATGATTTCTTTACAATCTCTTTCTTTTCTTACAGCTGTTTTTAGATTAAAGAACTTCTATCTCTTTCTTATCATTTCTTTTCAAGTCATTCTTACATCTTTTACTCTTTGTAGAGACAAACAATTCTTACATCTGATCACTCTTTGTATGAATAAGTGATTCTATCACTCAGTCTTCTCTTTTCTATAATATCTGCAGTATATGTAAATGAACTAGCACTTCTGAACAATATTCACCCCTTTGAGCCTAGCGCCTGTGATACCTGTCATCTTTTTTCAACATCATTTTTTTTTTCTTCTCCGCGGACACATTCTTTTCAGATAGAGGAACTGTGGCATGCTTCTGCTCTCTATTCAAGTCAATTCTCTATCCAGCTCTAGCTTCTGCTTCATTTCTTGCTGTTTTCTGAAGCTTCTGCTTCTATCTTCTCTCTCTGTTCTTTTCTTCATATGCAATCACTTCTTCTATGAGAGCTTTCACTTCTTCTCTACAGAGCCTTCATTCTTTTCTTCATATGTAATTACTTCTTCTATAAGAGTATCTGCTCCTTCTCTACAGAGTCTCTGTTCTTCTCTTCATAGATGATCACTTCTTCTACAAGAGTTAATCTCTATAAAACAATCACTGTATATATAAGGGTGTACGCCCATCTCCCATCTTTTAGAGAATAAGACAAGTTTTTACCCTTATATCTGACTCTACGTAGCGGCGTACGCTACAGATTAACTGTAATATTAGAGATATAGTAAACATTCTGCAAGTTAATATCATCATTCTTAATCTTCAAGATAACAGTTTTAATCTTCTTGACAAACTCAGTTCTCTCAGTGACAGAATTAACAGAGATGTTATTATTAAAAGATTTAATATTTGAAAAAGAATAAAGCTTATCTGTCATATTCAGACTTATATATGTGTTCAAATATCAAGATCTAGAGAATGATTTTCTGATAACTGTGAAAGAGAAATAGAACTTAATCTTTGTAATTACTGCATTTACTGCTAATTAAGAACTTATTAAGTTATTCTTCTTCTCTTTCTTCTTATCATTCTTCTTTTTCTTTTTATCAGAGTGTAAGATGAAACATCTGTTAACAGTATATTCATATCTTCTGCAGTGAGTGCACTTTTATACAGATATGCTTTTATTCTCATCTTTATTCTTATCTTTATTCTTATTCTTTTTCACAGTCACAGAATCAGTCTGAGACTGCTTTTTTCACTTAGTGATAATCTTTTTAAATGTGTGATTGATCAGTTACTTTATTAAATTATTAATATTAATATTAACAATAAGTTTCTGATCAGTGAAGAAAAACTTATTCAAATATATCTTAATAAATAATCTTTAATAATCTTATAGATTGTTGAGAAAAAGATTATAATATACATTCTCAGTACTCTGACAGAGTTTCTTATAACAGATAATAAGATAGTGAAAATATCTCTGAAAAGTAAGATAATTATTCTTCTTAACTTATAATTTTATCAATTTCTTGAAGATATTAACTCATTCTTCAGTCAGTGATATTATATATTTAATATTAATCTTGTTTCACAGAGCTGTAGCATTATCAGCTTTCAAGATTTTAATAATAATTTAAATGTTTTTAACAAGACTTAATAGTATACATCTATATAGAGACTTGAAATGAATTCTTCACTTCTCAGAGTTAATATAACATGTAAAAGAGAATTCTTATTAAGTTCTTAATAGAATGTTGATTTTATTAATAACTTCTGTATCAGTTAATATATTAATACATCAGACTTTATAATTAGAGTTATTAAATATAATAACTGATTTAATATCTAGTGTATATTTGACTTTCTTCTGATATTCTCACAACTCATCTCTTATAGTGTCTCTTTATACAGAGATAGATATAGTGAGATATTAAGTGATTTCAGCTGCAGTTATTTGATTTTATAGTATTATCTATATAAGATTTATAAAATTGTCTACAGTGTAATAGATAGATTGATTCAGATCATTATTAAAAATTAATATTTCAGAGATAAGAAATAGTGAAGAATTTAATAAGTTAAAATAAATAGATTCTATAGATAAATATTAACTCTGCTTTTCTTTATTCTGAAGTTTCTTTATTATCTCATCATTAAATTTCATACTCTGGTGAAAACTGATCTCAGTCTTATCTTATAAGTCAGAAGTCTTCTTATAATAAGTAATTATTCTATCAATAAGTTATCTAGTAAAGTGTGTGATTCTTAGTCTTGAGCTGAACTCTGAAGTAATAGATATATTACTTATATTAAGATAACTCTGCTTCTTCTAGATATGTAAAAAAAAAAAAAAAAGTCATATTCTTCATAATGAAGAATACACTTTCTTAAAAATATAAAGTATATAAATCTGCTAATCAGCAGATTCAGAGAAAATGAAATATCTCTAATAAGAAGTGAAAGTCTTTTCAAAAAAGATAAACTATCTGTGTTAAAAATGTTAATGTAATATTCTAAAAAGAAAAATATGTCATTCAGACTATAATCTATAGAATAGTTGAAGGTTGTATTGATAGATCTATCTACAAGAACATAATATAGTGGTGGGTCACATGATCTAGTGGGATCGCTAACCGCAACGGCCGTAACGGCCAACAGTTTTCTGCTTCCTGAGGTCAAGTTTTCTATGTGGTGTAGTAATTGCCTTCTTAGTCATCGTTTCCTCTAATACAGTCTCAATATCTGCATTCTGCTATACTCTTTCTCTCAACATTCAGTTTCTTACTGTAGAGACTTAGAGATAATTAGAATTAGAAGAAAAAGCTAGAAAGAGATAGATTCCTGAGAGATATGAAAAATCAATATTATGAGGAGATAGAGGATAGATCTAGTGCAAGTACTTTTAATGAGTATGTACTACCATCCGCCCCAGGAACCTTCGTGAGTAGTTAGCGGATTACATTAGCCTCAATGAACGTCGCGTCAAACGCGCCTCTCTTAATTGAATTTGTCCCAGGGTGAAACAGTTTCGATCTACCTCTCTTCCACTTGTCCCTTTCTTTTGGAGGCAAATATTCATCGGCCCTTTGAATAAACAGGCATTTTTTGTTGTTTATATATGTTTGGATCTGCTCATTGCCCCTCCCCTCCCGTCCCCGAAACAGCATATAACGCCTCTGAAACTGGAGGTTTATCCTATCAGGGCCCCCAACTCTTTTCATGCCTCTATATAACTGATTAACTTGAGTTTGGATGAGCCGTGCCCGAGTCGTAATTACAGCTTTTCATGATTATTCTCACTTTTGGGATGTACTGTACCATGCCTATGCCTCGTTAAACTGCACTACGACAGAGTGACCGCGCCCGCGTGCATAATCTCCAACCCCCAATCCTAGCACGATGTCCTCCTCCCAATCCTCCTCGCAACTCAAACGCAAACAACAATCTATATCTAGCTTCTTTGCCAAGAAACCCGTACCCGTGAATGGTTCTACGAATGCTACTCCGAAGAATGGAGCCGGGAAGAAGCTTGGAGAGGCTCGGGTTCGGCAAACGCCGGACAGCGAGGTAAATGAGGTGGTGAATGGGGGCTATGGGGCTGGAGGGATGGAAAAAGAGGAAGAGGAGGATGATGAGATTATTGTTCCATCTAGGAAACGTATTAGGAGTAACGGGGATGTTTCGACCGTGCACAGGGGGGCACCAGCAGATGCGGATCAGCGACGTGACGTTAAAGAGACAGATACTGGTATGGACATGGGAGTCGTAGATGAGTTCGATTCTGATGGGGTTATGAAGCTGCCGACGGCGAAGAAGGAAAAGAACACTGGATCCGCGCGGACGGAACGATTTCGGTTCAATAGCTCCGCTACACCTACGTCGAGTGATCAGAGGGCCGATGGGAATGGTGGCGATGCATCTGAGGACGACGAGAGGGAAAGAAAGAGAAAACAAGCTCTGCATCAGAAGTTCGTGAAGAGGTTGGGCGGGCCGGATTGTCTTCCGCCTTTAACGAGTGGATTCGGCGCGGGCGATGCGGACGATCTGGAGGGTGCCGAGAGTGATGCTGAGGCTGAGGAGGACGTTGCGCCGGCTCCGCAGAAGGTGAGAGGAGCAGGAAAAAGGACTACGACGGGGAAATTGACGCCGATGGAAAGGCAGATCATTGACATTAAGAAGAACCATATGGATACCGTGCTTGTTGTGGAGGTTGGCTATAAATTCCGCTTTTTTGGTGAGGACGCGCGTATTGCAGCGAAGGAGTTAAGTATTGTGTGCATCCCTGGGAAACTCAGATTTGATGAACGTGAGTTCATGGCCCTATTTTGTTTTGTGACTGGTTTATATGTTCTTCTGCTGCGAAATACCAAATGCTAATATATGGAATTTCACTGTTCTGATAGACCCATCCGAAGCTCATCTGTCCCGCTTTGCCTCTGCTAGTATTCCCGTGCATAGATTGCATGTTCATGTGAAGCGGTTGGTCGCAGCGGGCTATAAAGTCGGCGTAGTTAGGCAGCTTGAGACTGCTGCATTGAAAGCTGCCGGTGACAATAGAAACGCTCCTTTTGTTCGTAAGCTTACGAACCTATACACGAAGGGAACCTACATCGACGATGTCGAGGGACTTGAGGGACCCAGTGTCAGCTCAGGCAGCGCGTCTACTTCCACAGGCTATTTGCTTTGTATGACCGAAAGCAACGCCAAGGGTTGTGGTAATGACGAGAAGGTCCATGTCGGAATTGTGGCTGTCCAGCCAGCCACTGGAGATGTTATTTATGACGATTTTGAGGATGGGTTTATGAGAAGTGAAATTGAAACGAGGCTGCTCCACATTGCCCCGTGTGAATTTCTGATTGTGGGCGAGATGTCGAAAGCTACGGAGAAGCTTGTGCAACATCTCTCGGGGAGCAAAACAAATGTTTTTGGCGATAAGGTGCGGGTTGAACGGGTTTCGAAGTCGAAAATTGCTGCGGCAGAATCACACAGCCACGTATCTAGTTTCTATGCGGGCCGGATGAAAGCAAAGGGCGCCGTAGGGGATGCTGCAGCAAACAATCTGCTGGAAAAGGTTCTGAAACTGCCGGAGGATGTCACCATATGTCTTTCCTCCATGATCAAGCACATGTCTGAATACGGGCTGGAATATATATTTGACCTCACCAAGTACTTCCAGCCGTTTTCGGCGCGATCCCACATGCTGCTGAACGGCAATACCCTAACCAACTTGGAAATATATCAAAATCAAACAGAGCATACGTCGAAGGGAAGCCTCTTCTGGACCCTCGATCGCACCAAAACACGATTTGGACAACGTCTACTACGGAAGTGGGTTGGAAGGCCTTTGCTTGATAAAAGTGAACTGGAAGAGCGGGTTGCTGCCGTTGAGGAATTGCAAGACCCCAGCAAGACAGTGCAGATTGAGAGGTTGAAAGGCCTCTTGTCAAAGATAAAGGCGGATCTAGAGAAAAGTTTGATACGGATATACTATGGAAGGGTGAGGTCTACCGCGTTCTCTACATTTCTTTTTAGCGAATTTCAAACCTCTGACTGAATATCTATAGTGCACGCGACCCGAGCTCCTGACAGTCTTGCAAACCCTGCAGTTGATTGCAGACGAGTATGTCCATCTCAAGTCTCCAGAGGATTTAGGTTTTTCGTCTCCAACGATCAACAGAGCCATTGCAGCTCTGCCGGCTATACGCAAAGATGTTGTTACATACCTTAACAAGATAAACGCGCAGGCCGCCAAAAAGGATGACAAATATTGCTTTTTCCGAGAGGCAGAGGAGACAGATGAAATTACGGAATCCAATCTTGGGATCGCTGATGTGCAGCATAGGCTCAAGGAACACTGTGCGGTTGCAGCAGAGATCTTAGGAAAGAAAAAAGTGCAGTACACGACTGTGGCAGGGATTGAATACCTCATCGAGGTAGAGAATAGTCCTTATAACCTTAAAAAGGTACCGGCCTCATGGCGGAAGATCAGTGGCACAAAGAAAGTCTCCCGCTTCCACACGCCTGAAGTGGTCCAGTACATGCGCGAACGCGACCAGTACAAGGAGGCCCTGGCTGCCGCCTGCGACAAGGCATTCCATGCGCTACTTGCTGACATCTCAACGAAATACCAATCATTCCGTGATTGTATCGTAGCCCTCGCAACGCTGGACTGTCTGCTCTCACTAGCCAACATCGCCAGCCAGCCTGGTTACGTCAAACCAACTTATACAGATGAAACCCGCATCAGTGTCCAACGCGGCCGCCACCCTATGGTCGAGCAGCTTCTGCTGGACAGTTACGTGCCAAACGATATAGAGCTGCATACCAACAAGACCCGTGCCCTTTTAGTAACGGGTCCCAACATGGGCGGAAAATCCAGCTACGTGCGCCAGGTAGCTTTGATCTGCATCATGGGCCAGATTGGCTCGTACGTGCCCGCTGAGTCCGCGACGCTCGGTATGCTCGACGCCGTCTACACGCGCATGGGCGCCTTCGACAACATGCTCGCGGGCGAGTCGACATTTATGGTCGAACTATCTGAAACGGCCGACATCCTCAAACAAGCCACACCGCGTTCGCTTGTTATCCTCGACGAGCTGGGCCGCGGCACGTCGACGCACGACGGCGTGGCCATCGCCCAGGCCGTGCTCGATTACATGGTGCGAAACCTGCGGAGTCTCACGTTGTTTATCACGCATTATCAGAACCTGAGTAGTCTGGCGCGAGAGTTTCCCAAGGGTGAGCTACGTAATGTGCATATGAAATTCACTGAGTCTGGGATGGATGGGCGGGATATTACCTTCCTGTATGAGGTTGGGGAGGGAGTGGCGCACCGCTCTTACGGCCTGAATGTGGCCCGGTTAGCTCATGTACCAACTTCGGTGCTGGATGTAGCAAGGACAAAGTCTGCGGAGTTGGAGGAGAAGATTCGGAAGAAGAAGTTGCTAGCGTTAGCCAAAGTGGTTAAGGGGGCTATAGATACTGATGGTGCCGCTAGGGAGGTTGATGCTGCGCTTTTAGAGGGAGTATTCGTTGGACTGGAGCAGTTGTAATTGTGAACCCTTTGTATCTCTGTACAGCATCGTATAATAATATTAGGCGGGAAGTAGCTTTGTTGTTCTTCATTCATTCCCTCTCGTTGACTTCAAAACTGAGTATTGCGTATGGATCATACTCCCTACGCACTTCTCCTGGTGGCTGCGATTTGAATTACGAAGTAATTTCGCGGTCTACAACCCTGCTCTGGAAGATATATCCTGGGCTCAGCAAATCAATTGAAGGATCCTTGGGCCTGATTATGAAAGGCAAATTTCAAAAAGAAACCTAAGATATATTAGAGTCAATTCACATTATCTATTTTGCAGAAGCGTGAGTCGCCCCAACCTGACAATGCCATAGAAAAAACGATTACAGCATAAGATGACGATTGGATGCTGGTTGCCGCATTATTCGCTTTCCCGGGGCAGATCCTCCCTTCTTTTTTTATCCCTTCCCAGCGGATTGATTCATCCTTCATTCCGAATAATCGCCGCTATCGTTCCAAAAAAAAGGGAGGGGAGAACAAGCCTCGAGATTGCATATAAATACGGTGACCATCATCCCGCAGAACGCCAAGCCACCACTTCCATTCTCTCCTCTCCTCTCCTTCCTCCTACTATGCACTTCCGCCACACTCCCCATCACAGTTCGTTCGTCACTCGTTAAGGGTGAAGAATAAGTTTCAAAAAGAAAACATCGGTCGGAATCAAGAGGTTTAAAGAGGACAGCGGGTGAAAACGGGAATAACGAAACGGTCGAACCACCACCACACCCTCCCCCATATTACAGCAACGATTTTTATATTTATATTTTTGGATTGAAAAAAAGCTGCTTTTATCTCAGTCTGCGGGCTTCTCTCTCAGACTCGAGTAGGCAGAGGATATCATCGACCTTGACTATTAATTTTTGACAAGAGTGAATGTTAGTTTACCATTACCATCCAATTCTTTGCTTTCGTCGGGGCATGGGGGTTCTTTCGTACCTGGGCCCTTGACGTTTCGGATGATGGATCGGGATGTGTCGTCCATGAACTCGACGCGGACCTGAGTGACACCACCTCGCGAACCTAGAATTCGAGAAATAGCCACGTTGTCAGATAAATTTTCCTTTGGCCTAGTTGGAATTTTTCCTGCTTCATTTGCTCTTTATCCGCATATTTTCCACCAATCTTCAACTTTCTCCAATTTTGATGTCTCCCATTCACATTCCGGTCCCAATCACAATATCCCAGGAAAAATCAAAAGATCGCTGCCATATATGCGGGAGAGAAATTTTCGGCTGTTTCAAAAACCAAAAGAAAGCCATGATAACATACCGGTGCGGCCGAGAACGCGGGTCACCTTAGCGAACTTGATGGGGACTTTTCCGGTAGCATCCATGATGGGCGGTGAGATATGCGTGCGAGTAACTGCTGCTGCTTGAGGGTAGACGACGGTGGGGAGGTAGTCCAGCGGCAGGGGAGAGAGGGGAGGATGCGAAAAGTGTCTGTTCGTGGTTTGAGATAGGCGGGAAGTGATTTTGGTTGTGTGGGAAGCAGTTTTTGCCGAGGCGAAGGGAATCCCGCCAATACGGAAGGTTTACACGGGATGCTAGGGGCTAGACTAAAGGCGGACTAGTGCCATATAAGCCCTAATTGCTGTTTTTGGAATCGCAGCCAACGCTCAGAGACATCATAGATAATTGGATGTGAAGTAGTTACTCCATGTATAATAATATAATATGAATAGACAGAGTCACATAAGATATGTGAGTAAATGTTTTCTTTCTCACTGTAGAAGTAATTTTGTAGATAGTTTTAGTGTTGCAAGCTCATATAATTCTAGTGATAGAGTAGACTGATAGCAATCAATAACTCAATCAATACAGTTACTAGAGGATTCTGCAAGCATCTTTCACAGTAATAGTCTTCCTTATATGGTTTAATGTCATGTAAATTAACATTCAGTGGTGTTTTTAATTAACATCACTATCACACAGATGGATCTGTATGTGTGATGTTTTCACATGAATTCATACATAGTATGTGCATGTAATTAGTGCTGTACAGTCTTCCTTATTCAGTTATCAACAAGTTAGCCTCATATCTCATATTGTTGTAAGGCAGATTGATCATCAACTTCATCTACGCATAGACCTTTCTCTATTCATGTTATCTATCCCCTCTGATTTGCATTCACAATTGCCATATCATACCATCATCATTATTGCCATCAAGCCCTTATATTTTCAAGATTGAAATCAAAATGGGTGTATGGAACGGGCGGCTGATATCAATATGAAAGACCTCACTTTTTATTATTTCAGAGTTCAAAATAACTGTACAAGCGGCGGCAGCGGCAGTGGCGGCAGCAGTGGCAGTGGCAGCTGCAGATTATTATTATATTCATTAGTTACCCGGCATACAAGAGGTTTTCAATTAGATGAATACAATATTTACAAGGCCTATGCCACAGTAGCGCCGAATCGTGGCATCTATGCCTATATAGAAAGGCCGTGCGTACTAAATATTTCATGCGACTTGGCGCTGCAGGATTCCTCTACTAAGTGAAAATAGTTACAGACTTACAGTACATCTCTTTCTGATAGAAAAGTTAGAACTTAACATCTGTTCTGAATTGAGCTCATACATACACTCTATTTTATTTTATTCTATATATTGATTAATTTCACAAATTAAGCATTTTTTTCTATTTTCACTTCTGTATTATCTCAGTGAGCTTTCTCTGTTTCACTTTGTCATTGTAACACAGGCACTAGACTACTTTTATCAAAGTCATGTGTTTTAAATTATTCAATTCTCATAAATTTTTGAGATTTATGAATAATCTCTCTATATTCTCTCTATATATTATAGAAAAACCAACTTTTCTGAGTAAAATGCTCTGTAATGTGACCTCATATAATATTATATGCATCTCATTAAAATGAATTCATCTGAACAGCTAGCTCTGCAGTCTGTACAGCTCTGATATTAATCTTCATTCTTTTCTTTACAGATATTCTCTACTGTATTTACATTCTTTATACTCTTCTCTACATTCATTCCAATCTATATATTCATTAATATACTCATTTCATGCACTGCTGCTCAGTGTGTGAGAATTCTCATTCTCTCAGCACATTTAAACAGTCTCAATTCAATGCATTATTCTGTACATGCTCTATGTATCATCAAGCTCAATATTATGTATGTCAGTTATATTCAGTTCAAACCTTCTGTCTGTCATTGAGAAATGTAGCTGCTTTTGTACTTAACTTATAATAAGTTGAGCTGTTGCACTGTGATACATGCTGTGAAGACTGTTCATCTCACCTGTTCTATGCTATCAATTGCATCTTCAAGAACTGCAATGACTGTCAGACTCTCAATTGTGAACATGTCTGCAATATCAAATGCTGTTATTTGACAGCTGCTGCAGCAGTTGCTGCAGCAGATGAGCCTGCTAATTATATACATGCAGATTCACTGAAGCAGTCAGCTCTTGATAATCTCAACACTTAAACTGACTTAACTACTTCTGAATCAACTGTTAATTCTTCAATCACTCACAGTTATCAGTTCATTCTCTGTGACTTCAGCTTCTATATTCATTACTGTCAACTACTTAATTTTAACTGAATGAATATCTGCTACTCTGTCTGCAGAGATAAGCATTGAATTGATAAACATGTATACAGATTGTCAAAGACTCTTTCAGTGTTTTTCACATACTGTGCAAGAGATGCTGTAAGACTGCTATCTGTCAGAGAACTCTCATCAGAGCTATATAAGCTGTTTAATGATAATACAGCTGATGTGAAGCATTTCTGTAAGTATATTCAGAACTACAACTCTGCTCTGACATTTACATCTCTTAAGTGTAAGCAGAATTCACACCTGAGTCATCTGGCTACTGACAGCTCAGTGTTATTTCAAATACAGAGAGAACTCTATCATCTGTAAGAGTTATTAGAGTCTGAGTCAGATAATAATATCTGTTTTATATAAACATGAATTCATGATCTGCAGTTTGATATAAGTATTGTAAATAATGTAGACTCTGTTATACATTCTAACATATTTAATCATATTGATATTGTATTGCTTACTGTTCATTCATTTACTTTTTCATGTTCTTCTATTATATTGTTGACTGCTAATATTTCTAAGATTAATTCTTTTATTCAGCTTTATCAGTCTGTATGAAAGATACTACAGAGCAGTTCTACTCTGTGTGTCAGTTTAAATCCTGTTATACAGCTGAAGACAGACAATGACTGCTACTATGAGAATCTGTCTACTGTCTCAGAGATTACAGTTATTATACAGAACACTTCTAGCAGTGTCTGTCATTTCTATGTTATTCTTCTAACACTATGACAACTCAGTGCTGACTTGAGTCTTATACATATTAACTCTCACAGTTCATTATATCTTTCACTGCATTACATTCTACTTTTTCCTTCAGAAGATCACAGCTGATATATTGATATAAATATGCTTATGCATCTCTCACCTGCCTGCAACAGCTCTGATGATGATATTGATAATACTGTTAAGAATGAAGATAAGTATGATGACTGTAATCTGACTCTGTGTATATAATATGCATATAATCTTTTTCAATGAGATGATATTGATGCTTCTCTTTTTCAGACTGAACATCTATTTCAGCAGTATTTAATTAATGTCTATATGAACATTGATAAACAGTGACTGAATTAAGTCTGTACTCATTAATCAGAAATCTGTGCAGATCAATATAGTAATCTGTGTAATACTATACAGACAGATAATACAGATTATAAGCAGCTTAATCACTGTGTAATATTATCTGCTTCTTATATAGACAGTGAATGTTTTATATATAAACTGTTTCAGAATTCTATGATAATTATCTTCAACTACAGACACTCAACTCTTTTCATTACATTCACAGCTAATTCTGAGTGAAAGAAGATTATTTATGAGTTACTTTCTGATCAGACTGCAGTGAATTACTCAGATTTGATTGTATGTATTTTTATAATAAAGGTTTTTCATTTTCTTAATATTCTCAAATTCAGACAGCTGTTCAGACTGATGTTAATCAGAGTATCAATAATTGAATATTAAAAATATAAACTGTCTCATATACATCTATTGATCTGACTAGAGAACTCTGAGCAGTTTTTACAGTCTAAGATGATTAATGAGATTATATCTGCAGAGCTGTTAAGCACTGCTGAGAATACAGACAGGTTGAATAAATTAATCTGTAAATTCATGATTTATAATTCATGTAATACTGGCAGGATGAGCCTCTGTCACAAGGATGACAGATGTACAAAACATTTCTTCAAAGCTTTTCAGAGTGCTATAACTGTTAAAGAGAATGACTATTCTCTGTACAGATAGCAGCATAATTCATCTATTCTCTTCAAATATACTGTTAATAACAGTGAGATTGTAATTAATAACTGATGAGTTGTTTCATACAATCTCTATCTTATCTGCATATATAAAGCTCATATAAATGTTGAGATCTGCGCCTTCATTGAAGTCATTAAATATATCAATAAATACATCTATAAGGGCCTGAATCACACTACTCTTCATATCATTAACTTCAATGATGAGATTGATATTCAACTGTATAAGCATTATATCGGCTCAACTGAGGCTGTATGATGTATATTCATGTTCTGTATACATCAGAAGTTTTCATCTGTTGAGATGTTATCTATTTATCTATCAGATTATCAGATGATTTACTTCTCTGAATCTGAATATAAAGATTATGAATGTATGACTGATCATTTGATAAATAACATATCTAAGTTTATAGCATTCTTTGTCTATAACTGTTCACATTCAGATGCTCAGTATCTCTATCAAGAATTTGTTCATCATTTTGTTTGAGACAAATATAACTGAAGGTGAAAGAGCTGTGTGAAGAGAAGATCAGTTGATTACCTGTCTCATCTCAGTTTATATAATAATAAGATGTTCTTTTTACAGCTGTTTCTTATTAATATACATAATTCTCTGAGCTTTGAGACTCTGTGAACAGTGTATGATGTTTACTACTCTATATTCTGTACAGTATATCAGACACTTGATCTTCTGTATAATGATAATGAGTGAATTATTACATTTGAATCTGCTGTTATATTTACAACTGCTCACTGCATGCAGTCAGTATTCATTACTATATTAATTCATGAAAATGTTACAGATTCATCTGCTCTCTGAGCATGTTTTCATCATGCTCTCTGTGATAATCTTTTACATTAACTGCATTAGATGAATTCAGACTGTATTAATAATACTTCTTTAGAAGATTCATATTATAACTATAATCTGTTTCTTATTCAGCAGCTTCTGTATGAGTTTGACAAGACTCTTGCAGACTTCAATCTGTCTGCATGCAGCTCTGTATGAAATAATCTTATTAAAAACTGGCTACTTTTTGAGAAGCAGAACTATAATCTTATAGAGAAAATTATCACTGCAGACACTCTGCAGACACAGTTGAATGATAATCAACATCATACATATGATTCAATTCTGGCCATAATAGAATTACAGTCATCTCACTATTTTATACAGAGTTCAGATGACACTGATAAAACATTTCTTTACAGAGCTCTCTATAGCTGTCTATGTGCAGGTGAAAAAACAGTTCTTTATATGACTTTCTCTAGCATTGCAGCTGTTCTTTTATCACATGATAGAACAGCTCACTCATGTTTTAGCATTCTGATTGAATTGAATGCAG